TGATAAGACAGTCTGAACTTACCGGTACAGAAATATAATAGAGCATTGCTCAAATGGTTTAGAATTGGTTTCTCTAATAACTAACAAATGTGTCACATAAGTCCAGTATAACATTTTTATTGGCACTTGAAATAAATGTATTACTCACTAGTGGATGTGCCAGAAAGAAAATCCCCACCCTATTTCCACCCCCACAGAGCTACAAATGATTATTTATTAAGCAGTGACAGAGTGACTTGGAGTGCAAAACAGAAGTCATCATGGCTATCTGTGTTCTTAAAGATTAACTTTCACATAGTGTTAAGATCAAAAAATGTTTCACTATAAAATCATCCCATAAAGGAAACCAAAACAATGCTTCTGGTGCTTGAAACTGTAGCTGGCTTAATTTCTTAGTGATACCCTTTTAGACTTTTAAATATCCTGTTTTCTATATTTACTGAATACAATGAATTTAAGTTAGGTATTAGCTGAAATACCTCCCACAGGAAAGTTTTCAAAATTGAGAGTGTAGCCTTGCTTTACCCATCATTTATCTAGCTCTAATATATCCTAGTCAAACCTAGGTGGGTCTTTCCCTTGTTTCCAGTAGACTTTAGGTGCTCTGAGACTTTTCAGCATCCTATGATATTAACCTCGAACTGGATAAAGCTAACGTGAGAAGTATTTAGCTAATGTTTCTGGCTTCAAAAAAGTCTTGTACACTCTTCTGGGCCACGCACTATACTAAGCGCATAGCATATACCCTAGAAATAATGGTTAAGGAATTTCTCTGCCAGGATGGAAGTGTGAGGAACAGCATGGTATTACTCCCCAGAGAAACAAGCAAAGCTAGAGAAAGCTATAAAAATAAAACCTTTATTTAAAGTCTCTGGAAAGAGTCCTAAGGGCTCAGAACCAATGAAGAAACATTTACTCAAGGAAATCTACTAAAACTTGGTAAGAATATTAAATCATAATCTATTCTCTCCCTTACCACCTGCCCCTTGCAGCCTCAAATCAGTTCAGCTTGGCAGAGGCTCCACTCTGGGAGGATTGTGGCCAAGAAGATGGGCCGCCTCTCTCCTAAGCTACCAAATAAGGGTTACCATATCTCATTGGAAGGACAAGCCGCCAGCATTTCTCATGCCCCCCCCACCCCAACTCTGAGCTTAAGTGGCCAAATTCTGGTGGGTAGCTGATAGAGTTGAGGGCTTTCTTCTTCCATTGAGTCCCACAGGATAATGACTGTATTCTGGAAATTACAGGCCAGAATACTGGGGCCCTGATCTCTCTCATGCCAGCTCACTTACAGGGCAGAGTTGTGAGAATCAACCCAGAAGACCAGAGGCTACTGCCCTACCCAGCACTCCGAAAGTGGCTCAGAGATGTTGCCCAGGGGGAGAATCAGTCTATAAGAGAGGAGAGCTTGAAACTTCTCCCCAGAGGAACTGACTTTATTTGAAAGAGTATGTGGAGAAAATCAAGCCTAAGGTCATCCTCAAAGACAAGAGCTCTTTTTAATTAGGAGCAACCAGCTAAACTGTAGGCGGGCTAGTTCACCGGGGAGAACCAGGGAAAGAGACAGCTAAGAAGGGTCCTCCCCTGGTCAGGATACACCTCAAAATCTGACTTCAAAAACTACTCCTGTCCAAATTGAATTCTGTTAGACTGCTGGGCACTTCATGCCTCAGGGCATGCACTAAACAGTAGAGCAATCAACCAGTAATTAGTGGAACCTGACGGTTTGGTGTAATACCAAATGTGGCAGACAGCCTATCAGAAAAATCAGAAAGGGAGACAGTTAAAAAGGGCCCTGGAATTTAGTTATAAGTCTCAAGAGATTCTTATAAGTTAAGATGTGTATGTGGTAAGCCCTAGAGCAACCTTGAAGAAAATAACTCAAAAATATGGTGAAAAAAATCATTAAAGAGGTTTTCTACGAGTCATACAGAAAACAAAAGTAAAATGGATATTTCTGTCCAATACACCAATAATATATACCAATAGTAACAGTGAATATGAGTGGATTAAACAGTCAAAAGGCAGAGGCTGTCCGACTGCATAAAAATTAAAATAACTCCTAGTTGTAACTGTGACCTTTGACTAGGCTAGTGAACTACAGGTTAGGGGACTAAATCTGGGCAACCACCTGTTTTTGTAAATAAAATTTTATCATACCACACTCACATCTATTCATTTATGTGCTGTCTACAGGTGCTTCTGCATTACAATAGCTGTGTCAAGAAGTTGTGACACAGACTGCATGGCCTGTAAAACCTAAAATACTATCTGGCCCTTTACAAGAAAATCTGATTTTTTTTTTTAAGATTTTATTTATTTGTTAGAGAGAGACACAGTGAGAGCAGGATCACAGGCAGGGGGAGAGGGAGAGGGAGAAACAGAAACAGACTTCTGGCGGAGCAGGGAGCCCGATGCGGGGCCCAGTCCCAGGACCCTGGGATCATGACCTGAGCTGAAGGCAGACGCTTAACAACTGAGCCACCCAGGTGCCCCTATCTGCTGACTTCTTAACTACTGGAAACTCAGTGTGGAAGTTCTTTAACTGATTCTACTCCCAAGGGCAGTAAGAAGCAAGGCCATCATTTAAGAGTGAGATGAGGAGGAGGTCTTAGAAGTTTGAGGACAAAGAATCTTAAAATAGTTCACCAGTGAAAAAGCTGGTAAATGTACTGGGGAAATGGAATAGAGTTGCCAAGTGGCACTAAGCACCCCACTTAAGGAGAGTAGCAAGTATGCATGCTTATCTTTCTTTGAAAGACAGGTGCTTAAAATGTATTATTTGGGTTCCAAAGTTGATTATAAGATATAGGAACATTTCTGATCGCAACTAATTAAAAATTAAATGCCAGTTAATTAAAAAAATAAAGTTTTTCTACTTTCAACTGCATAGAATTAACACTTGGTTTATATTTCTATCTGTGTGGTTTTAGAGGGGTCACTGTGGAACTTGTTTTAAGAGAAGAAAAATGATTTGTACAATCTTATAAAAGAATGAATATACCAGAAGATACACCCCTCTTGTGGTAAAGCACTGTAATCAAGTCAAACACAGGAGGAAGAGACTTATACTCTGGATAAAATTACCATTTTTTAAATGACGAGGAAAATCTTATTCTGTTAGCATGAAGAAACAATTTTTTTTTAAAGATTTTATTTATTTGAGAGAGAGAAAGCACGAGCAGGGGGAGAGGCAGAGGGAGAAGCAGTCCCTGCTGAGCAGGGAGCCTGATGCGGGGACTCATTCAATCCCAGGACCCTGGGATCATGACCTGAGCCGAAGGTAAATGCTTAACTGGCTGAGCCACCTGGGTACCCCTGAAGAAACAATTTAATCACAACAAATGTTGCCCTATTTATTTTCAATCTGTAATCTGAAAATTATACTGTATTTGTCAAGGAATTAAAAATATACTCAGAATATGCAGATAAAATGGACTTTACAGTATTTCCCTTGAATGGCTAATTATGCTTGAAGTACACTGGGGCAGATCATTATTTTAAGGAATTCAGTAATCTCTTTGGAAAACAAATATTTTATCAATTTGCATTTTCATAGTTCATCCTAGTATTTGAGAGATGCATAAAGTTTGGTTTGATTAGAGGAAAAAAACAGTGACTTATTCAGCCAATAGATGAAATATGATCATCTGTAAGATGAACTGAGGTGAAAGACTTCTGTTAAATAATCAGGTAGTATGTCTGTTTTCTTTAAGAAAACTAATATTTATTGAACACCTTCTGTTTTCCTTGATCGAGTGAAACATGATCTGTGTTAAAAGAAGGACCTTTTCTCCTATCCTATTCTAGTTTAGTTCTAAGTCTTGAGCCCTTTTATATTGAAGGATAATAGAAAAAAGTTTTGCTATGGCACTTAGGATAAAATGTCAGACACCAATTCCTTCCAGTGATATATGGTTGAGTATATTCTCAGAAAAGGAATGATGCAAATCTTGCTGCTTTGGTATAACCAAGAGCAGAAATTACCACTAATTATAGTTCCTTATGCTATCCTTGTTTTCTACAATTTTTTCCTTTCGCTTGAAGTTTACCTTTCAACAGTTGTAGATCAACTGCATCTGTTCTAAGTATGGTAGTAAGTGAAGCAAGATTTAAGTTTTATAGTCCTGTGAAATTGGGCCTGCCCTTTTTTACCTTTACTTTTAAAATCTGAATATCATCATTTTGATTTTGAAAAAAAAAAAAAACCAAAATCATGTATTACTTCTTTAGATTGATATGAGAAATTATTTGCCACATGCCACTCACTTTCATAGCATCTTTAAGAATGTTACACATGGTACATGTCATAGTTCCCCTAGGTGCATTACATAAAAAATTTTAAGGTACTTCTGTGCTTTCTATACTATTGTCTAAATTTTCTTTTTAAATTTCCACTTTAAATATTTCCCTAGGTTTTTAATCCATAATTCAAAAATTTTACATTTTATCTTTATGCTTTGCATTCTCTGAAACAGTTTCAAAATTAATTTCCTAATGCTATATAACAAAAAAAATTAAATAAGAAATTCCTTATAATAACAGAAGGGAAAAAATACAGACTAAAAGGGTACTGACTTATGAACACTTTACAAATTCTGTAAGATTCACTGTGACAAAGGAACAGTTTTTTTTTTTTAATTATTTTATTCTTTTCATCATGATAAAGTGCCCTCTTTAAGCCCCATCACCTATTTCCCCCATCTCCCACCCACCTCCCCTCTGGTAGCCACCAGTTTGTTCTCTATAGTTAGAGTCAGGAACACACTGGTTTTAAATGTCAAAGAATATTAGATAAAACTTTTATTTTTTTTTTAAAGATTTTATTTATTTGACAGAAAGATAGAGAACACAAGTAGGCATACAGGCAGGCAGAGGGAGAGGGAGAAGCAGGCTCTCTGCCGAGCAGGGAGCCGGACGTGGGGCTCGATCCCAGGACCTCAGGATCATGACCCGAGCTGAAGGCAGCCGCTTAACTGACTGAGCCACCCAGGCGCCCCTAAAACTTTTATTTTGAATGTGATTTAGAATCACAGAATCAAACTTAAGAATCACTTATAATTTACTGCTTGATCAAAATTAACATAAAAATATAACAAATTATGTTTTCAACTCAAACTAACAAACTGTTTTCTAAAGAAACTTTCTGCTCTATGCTCTCAGAATTTCTCTCATGGAGTATCAGCAAATAATGTAGTTATACTGGGCCACAAATAGTTAAAAGCAACATTTGTAGGTAATTTGAATTATACATACATTATTCAAAAACAAATATTAGGGTTATTTTCTCTGGAAGCTTAGCTTGCAAACAAGAAGAAGAAACCCAAATCCGCATACTGTAACAGCCGTCCTCTTCAAAATTCTACTATTCCACGTAGATACTTCTTCTTTTAATGGTATATGAGTTGGATCATTTTCTCGCTCATTTTGCAACTAATATTTAGTATGAGAAAATGAAAAGAGTTAATGTACACTGAAAATATCTTTGATTTTTAAAAATATAATATCCATGTTAATTCAATTGATATAGAGGCAGCCAATGCAAGATTTCCATGGAAGATTTAAAGTGAACACATATGTCTTAAAAGACAGTTTTTTTCCCCCCAGGATCCTATCATGGTAAATTAGTTTCACATTAAGAATAAATGCTTTCATAGATTATTACATTTTAAAATCATGTTTTTGTATCAGGAGATAAAGATCCTTGAATGTGAATGTATCAGGAGATAAAGTTCCTTGAATGTTTCTATTTTTACTTTACAAGCAATGACAGTTGTTATTTTTCCTTCTATATTTAAACATCAAATGATTTCTTACAAAAAAGTGAACCATTTTTATAGTACACCTACAATACATGAAATTTAACAAAAACTAGAAGATTTGATTCTACTGCTAGAAGTTTAATCCTTTATTTAAATATAATTGTAGGAACAAATACTAACAAAAACTTAAGTGGTTCTTCTAGGGCTTCTCAGCAATAAAGTACATGGCCCAGTCAGTTTCTAAATACTCATATACAGAACTCCATTGCTAAAGAAGGCACCCAACCACGTGTGTATGTGTATGAGAGAGAGAGAAGGGGAGAGAGACAGTTGATGGGGGAGGGGCAGAAGAGGGAGAATGAGCAGAAGCCAAAAGATCTTCAAAAGATAAAAAGAATCAGGCACATTTATAGAGTGATATATACTAGAAACATCCTGGGCTGGAGTGGTGACATAAATATTTTCAACATTAGCAAGAATAACTACATCTAAAATCTACAGTGTAAATATTTAATTTAAAAAGCCTGCAAAATTAACTTTAAATTTACAGCAGAAAACAGACTTCAGTGCCAATCTCATTAATACTGTATTCTTGGCCTAACTTCCAAATGGCTTCATTCAGTAACAGATTCCTTTTTGACACTGATGCTCCATTTATTGAATCCTGAGACAGCCATTCCTTTTATTAACCAATTACTTAGAATGACCCTTTCTGACAGGAGCCTGTCAGTGTGTTGCTTTGAAAGAGAGTGATGTGGTGTTAAAGTCGAGCCTTGACCTCTCCTACCCTCTCTCTTTGTTACCTCCATACACTTATCTATGGTAACTCATATTTTTTTTTATTTGCTTCAGTTATTACTGGTAAACTGAAGTATCATAAGCTTAGCAGGCATAATAGCATACTCCCAAACCTGGAAGCCTTTGCAGTTCTCTAGATCAAATCTCATTATGGTGATTACTACTTCAGACTAATCCAGAAAAACCAATGTAATAGCTTGCGTAAAAATTAAGACTTTCCTGACCAAAGAACTGTATCTGCCATTATTACAAACCAATAAATGTATTTTCAAGGCTAGTTCTTATATAGAAATGTATAAATTCAAGGTAGAGAAGGCCACAGAAAAAAGACTTTACGTTAGCTAAAGAAAGCTAAAATTTCTCCTTCTAGGTATGCATTATTAAAATAAGTATCATGGTACCTGACTGAATTATTTATGTTTTAGAGTCAAAGTCACCCCTAGAGTAGTGTTTCTTAATTTCATTCCTTTAGGAAAAACCTGTCCTCTCGCTCTGATTTCGTCTCGGTCTTACCCTCTCTTCCCCCACCCCACTGCCCCAAATGTTTTTGGTTCATCTTGGAGAAACCGAGTAACTACCAATCCTGAGGAAAGATGTCTTGGGGAATTTCCTACACTAAACATTAAAGGATGATACTTTGCAGGAAGTATCTTTACATAGTCCTTCCAAATTTCCCCTGGATCTTCATGAAAAATATCATGCTAAGTAAAATCAATACCATTTGTAGTGAAGACGAGTGGCGCTGTAATTCTCATGTTGTCAACAAGTTCAGAAAGTAGAAAACCAGATTTTCGCACGAGAAAGTTTGAGGAGTGGTGTGGATTAAAGGAACACAAAAGTGGAAGGAGCACAGTTAGGAGACTGATGGGTAGCACAGTTGTCTGACATATAGCAGGCCTCTTATGCCTGTGAATGAATAAATGTCAGAGACAGTACAACTTCTAAGATGCCTCTTTCTCTAGAAAGGAGGTATCTTCTACAGGAATTCTGAGATATACTGCTCATTTGCCCCATTTAAAATTTATTCCCCTATTATCTTATAAAATTTGCTTCGTAATTTTCCGCTTACTTTTTAAAAAGACCCCTTTTAATTGAACACATGTTCATAGCTAGGATGACAAATTACCCGGAACATGTATAAAGGTGATTCTGAGAAGAACTTTTTTTGATAAAATATTAATGAAAATATCAAATGACTTATTGGTTAAAGCTATACAAATTTAATGTATAATCTAACATTCACTTCAGCTATTTCATAAAAATATTATAGATACCAAAGATATTTATTAAATAGACTAGGAGAACTCAGAAGTGAGTTCTTGAGTCAAATGAAAGTGTTTTTCTTTATTACCTATCTTCACAGTTCCCTATTTCAGTAACTTGGATCTTGTTATAGCCAATTTTCTTAAAGGGGGGAAAATCATCTGTCCTTAAACCCAGATATATAGTTCTATATGAATATAGAAACAACACCAAAAAATCCCATACTCTTTAAGAAAGTCTAGAAAATAGAATATTTCTTCTAAAAATCTATCTCATCAACAGAACTGAGAAACGTCATTTTCATAATTTCCCATCTGCATATTTACATGTAAATAAATTTTACAAACATAACTTCATACCTTTAACAAGTTGATACTTGATTTTCATTCTTTTTTTTGGCTGCATATCATTGTAACAAATGGGTGTACCATAATTCGTTAAATCATTCTCCTGGCATAGGACATTATGGCACATACAATTTTGGAATCATTAAACTACTGAAAGATACAAATATTTTTACGGTCTTTGGCACATCTTGCCCAACTGTTTCTGAAAGGGGATGTGATACCAGTCTCACATGAAAACAGCTTGGTGAATAACCAATAATGGGTAGGATGATCATTCTACCTTGCTAATTTAAAAGATGAAAATGATAGATCTTGTTCTTTTAGTCTGCATTCCTATAATGACCCACAAAGTTTGTTTCTTATATTTATTCCTTCTTTCCTTCCTTTTTCCACTTGTCTGGTGGGAGCTTAAGTTGCTCTTGTCAGAACTGCTTCACTGTCTGACATATTATTTGTACATCATTTCCCCCCTTTTTAATATTAAATAAATACCTTCTGAATTAAGTCTTTTAGTTTGCAGACCTCTTCACTCAAATCTTCAACATTACTAACCAGTTCTTCACAAACTGAAGTAAAATTCCGGGGAGAAGCCCATTCTAGTACTATCTGTGAATATTTTCAAAAGTTACATTTTAAAGAATGGGAAACGACTTTTTACAACTTTATATCTACAAAAATTATACAGTGTTCTCACCCATTAAACTATGTAACTGAAAAGCATTTTTTGTTCAGGATAAATTCTGACACCAAAAAGAAGTTAGTGGTTTTATATAGTCACATCAGTTTCCTGAATACATTTACTAAAGATATGTATGTATGTCTTTATGGAGACTAACATTTAGTAATAATAAAATTTATGGTGAACAAATAAATTCATGAAGGTTTTAAGAATGATACAACTCCTATATTAGAGTTATATAAAAATCAGAGGAAAACAAATGCATTAAGATTTTTTCACAATAAACAAATAGCTAAAACCAAATCACATGAAAAACTCTACAAAAAAGTTTGCTTTTACAGGTCACTTACACTTTAACCTTTCCTTCATTAAAAAACCTTATATTGATATGGTTTTTAATAACACTCAACACATTGTTTTGTTTCAACTTTCACTTGGGTCTCCTGTCACTTTATATTTTAAACAACTATATTCCCTTTAAGAACAAATGTTAAGTTCAGTACACAGATCAGTGTAATTTTTGGCCTGACTCATTTTCCTTTTCCTAAGCTAGAACAGTTTTTCAATTAATTAGTATATAAAGGAGTAATAATTAAACATATTGACTTATTTACATTTTATGTGATTTTATAGATGAAAGATACAATTTTACCAGATCACTGTTTAGAGAATTATCAACTTATCTGGAATGTTCTTCAGCATTCATACTTTTCTTAACAACTTTTATAGAATACCTTGTGAGAATTTACAGGCAACTCAGTAATGATATTCTGTACAGCTGTTATTAAATGGCCACACTGTTTGTTTAATTTCAGAAGAAAGTTGAGGAACTCATCACCACTAAAGAGAGGAAACAAATAGGAAATCACTAATATGAGCAAATTACTTCATTCTACTGGGTTAGTTACTCAATGTCTAGTCATAATATTTACTAGATTCTTTAAAAATGTTTATAGAATAGCTAATATGTATTAGCTATGAAATAGACATTGGGTATACAAAGAACACAAGTCTGCAATCTTGAGGATCTCAAGCTTCAGCATGACAGGCAGACATACAATTATAATCTCATTATTCAAAGGGACATATAAAGAAGGAATATAAAAGTACCAATATTTGAGTATCTATTACATGAAGGCACTGCACTAGTTATTTTACATTTATTATTCTTTTAATTCCTCCCAACAACTCCCATAGGGTAGATGTTAACATTAGCTTATAGTTGAGACATCTAAAACTCAGAGATAATGAACTTAGTATAATGGGAATAGAGAATTCGTAATGCTTCACAGAGATGGTACTTGAATATAAATTTACACAGTCTTAATGAATAAAAGGAAAATACATACCTTTCTTGTGATGCATAATTTTCAGGGCCACTGAATATTGACAGGCATGTTGTAAAAATCACAACTCTAGGGTATGCATTCATCACATACTATGTGAATGGCTGCCTACTCCCCACCCTGGCCAGAGCTGTACAATATGCCTCCTGTTAGGATGTATCTTTCTTTACCCTGCCACAGGAGCCACATGTCCAGGGTGGGGCTGTTTCTCCAGCCTGTTCTCAGAATAATAACAAGAAGGAGATCCACTTCAGTGCAGCCATGATACAGGTGCTCAAGAAATACATTTTGTTATTATAAATCATTTAGATTTAGAAGTTATTTCTTTTTTTTTAAGTGTAGTGCTTTTATTTTTATTTTATCTTATTTTTAATTGGGATGGATTAAAAAGAGGCACAAAGGAACTTTCTGGGGTAATAGGAGTTATTTCTTACTGCAGCATGACATGGTGTAAACTAACTAGAACAACAGACCATGTTTTAAAAATGTGAAGTATTGGGAAAAAATTTATACCTTAAATAAAGGTACTTCAAATAAAAGATAAAAATATCTGGAAAAATTAAAACCAAAATTACCACTACTCTTACCACCTAAAGATAATGACTGATACTATTTTCTTCCAGAGTATTTTCTTACAGCACACATTTTCTTCCAGTATTTTTCATATGCATATATACAACTGGCATTATACCTCTCATTCCATTTTATATTTGCCTTTTATACTATGCATATTTTTTCATGACATTAAGTCTTAAAATAATTTGAAGGACAGAACAGAATATATTAATGCAATGTAATTCAACCATTCCCCTGATGTTAAATATTTAGAGTTTCCAATTTTAGAATGTTTATAAATAATAGATATGAACAATATATTTTTACATAAAATTCTGTATCTTCTTCTTTTTGGAGGAGAAATAGTTTCCTTAACGGACACAGTTTTGAGATGTCTTTGATATACTCGAGTGAATGTCAGGTAGGCTCAGATAAAAGGTCTGGACATAAACTGTTGAAAATGTCAAGATATGGATGAAAGCTTACTGTTTAGTTCAAAGTATCTCAAGGTAGTAATGAAATTGTTATTATTTTTAAACTGAATTCTCTAATTCTGCAAACTAGTAAGGCTAAGTGTAGAAAAAAGTAAATGTACTATGCATATGTGTTCTTCTAACAGACTATTTTAGAAAACTTAACACATAGAAAGAAAGTATCATAAAATAAATCAGTAGCTAGATTGCTGAAGTCACCTTACCAGAAGATTATAATCAATCAGTTCAACTTTTCCTGCTGTTAGTTTTCTTATGACTTAATGACTAATTTCTTCTTTAAAGAATGACTTTGAACAAATGGGAAGTAAAACCTTTTTCATAACAGCTGTAAACAAAGTCTGTGATTTAATAACAAGGTCAAATTCCTGGAATATATGTCTGCCAGTTATATTTTTTAAAAAAAATTCAGCAGTTTTAATAAGTGAACCATTCAGGATTCTGCACATTCTTTAAGTCTATTAAATTCCACAAAGTAAATTCTTACAGACAACTCTGCCATCATATAAATAAGTTACATTAAAAATTTTAATTTCCAGTTTAGTCATGTAGAACTTAGAATATTCATTCCTTCACAGAGACAATAAGTTAAATAAATTTAAAAAAGTAACAGAGATTCAAGAAGTTTTGCTGATTTTAAGTTCTCACACCTGAAATCCTTTTAAATATTTAAAGTGTTTAAATATTTAAAAGTTATAATGTTATTTTGAAACAGTGATGAGGCATTATTTTGAATACAGATCATCTTGTTATAAGGAAAAAGATAAAGAGAAATAATTTAATTTTGCAATAAGCTATTTAGAGAAATCTGGATCATTTAAATTATCCCATGGAAAACTTCTCTAAATCCTAAAATGTTGTGGAAATTAATAATTTATTTGTTTAATTCATGCTTATTATAGTTGCAATGTTACTTTTAGATAGGATACATCAGTGCTGATAGTTCTGCATTTGTAAGTAAGACAGAACTTGGATGACACTCAAGGGAATTAGGATGAGTGAAAAAAGCCAATCAAAAAAGGATACCTACTGTATGATTCCATTTAGGTAACATTTGTGAATAATATCATTATCAAGATGGATAACCAATTATTGGTTGTTAGGGATTGGGGGGATGGGCGTGGCTATAAGGGAGCAGTATGAGAGAGCTTTATAGTAATGGTATGTTAAGTATACTCGTGGCAGTGGTTAAATGAAGCTACACACATGATAAAACCGAATAAAGCTATACATAAACATAGAAATGAACACATGTTTAACTGGTGAACTACAAATAAGCTATGTGGATTGTATCACCTATGTCAGTTTTCTGGTTTTAAAATACTGGGTGAGACTGAGTAAAGAATGCATGTACATCTCTTTGCAATTTCCTGTGATTCTATATTTATTTCACTTAAAAAGTTAAGCAATTTACTGCCCCACAAAATATTACTAAAATCAAATACAATTATTTTTAAAATAGGTTTTAGATTACTTATAATCAGTGCTTGAAAAGTTTATAATATTGAAACCGAACTCTATATACTGACAACATAATTCCTTAAAGAGTAAGGCTGAAAATAGAGCTGAGCTACACTGCAAATACTTTCTTATTGCCCTAAGTGAAAAAATTACCACTAATTTTCAACTTGACACTTCAAATGATTTAAAGAGAATAAGAGCTATACTATAAAAAGCATGGGATCTCATATAGTTCATTTAACAAAATGCAATGAAAAAAATAAAAAGAATGTTTCTAAGTGAGTGAACAAGAAGATGCACTGTTTTGCTTTTTGGTAAAATGACTTTACAAAAATTGTTATAAAGTACCTCCCACTTCAGAACATAATATATTGTAAAATGAACTATCCATTTCCTTTGGAAAATGACAATATCAAGTAAAAAGACTCAGAAACTATCAAAATTAAACTTTTTAGTTCTTTTTTAAGAACAGCTGATTCTAAACAATATTAATGTTAATTTTACCTGATTTCCAACTTTGCCACTTCAGGTAATTCTCCAAATTTTATCTCTTCTACCTCTAGTTCTTTAAGAGCAGCCAGAATTCTCTGCTGATCTCTACTGGTAATTCCATTCTAAGTAGAAATAATTTTAAGGTACAATAGGACACTCATACTTGAGTAATTTAATATTCAATATTACTAAAGAAATTTTCTACTTGATTAATTCACATCTTGAAAAAACAATTGAGAAAAATAAGAAACACTGAAAAATAGATGGTTTGCTTTTAATTGTGATTGATAAGGTTACACCATTAAGATGTTTAGATATATAGTGACTATAGCCAATTTTTTGCAAAATTGGATTCTAAAAGCAAATTACTAGATATTAAAATTTCCAAAACCACCATTATTTTACCATAGTAAAATAATTTTTCCTTCAAAGTATTTAAAATATTATCAGTGATTAAATAAGGATTATGTCTTTGTCTTTACCTTTAGTGTTAACTAAATTTTCTCTCCTGGATTTAGCTAAGTAGTATGTTTATTTTGACTTGTAGTAATACTGAAGATTTCAAGTTTCCAATGTGTTCATGGAGGAAGATTATTACTTTTTAGGTATTCTATTAAAGTATCTCTAATATTTCCCAAGCTTATTTTCAAATTGTTACTTAATAATACTAGATGGCAAAATAATGGCCTTGATCTTTTTGAGAACCTAGCAAAAGGCAGTATTTGGATGACACATATGCATACCTACGTACACAAAAAGCCACCTCTTATTTCTAAGTAACCTGTTTTACAAAACTATTCCAGATTAAGAAATGAAGCACCAGTTTTAGTTGAGATGTCATGATTAATCTGAAGGAAAAAAAAAACTCTAAGTCTTTAAATGTTCTTAAAGCAACAGAAGATTTTAAATATGGTTATAAATAATCATATCTAGTAAAAAACCTAGCAAAAGGTCATTTACAGTCTATACCCCTAGGATTTTTAAAACAGAAAATAAAAGCATCCAGAATTCTTAAAATATGAAAGAATATCTGAAGTTTTTGAAACTGATACTAACCTTTGTAAATTCATCTTTCCTCATGGTCAAAAGGTGTCTTAAGGTTATATCCCTTTCCTGTAGAAAAGAAAAAAAAAGCAACCTTTCAATATAAATAAGACATTAGAAAGGGAAGTAGGCAAATGTCATAAATTAGTCAGTTATATACTACCCTCCTAAACAACTTTCAATTCTAAAAGGGGATAGGATATGCAGGTATAGAACTCTACTACTGGGTAGACAGTAGAGTGTCTTAATATGTATAATTACCTAAAAAAGTACAAACATAGCCAGTTTCCCAGATTCAAAGAAAATCATTACAACTTTTATTTGCTCACATAAAGGGAAAGATAGCTTTATAAAATTTGACAGAAATTATGTTTTATGAATATTTTAAATTTCTAACTGCATATTAAACAATCAGTAACTCAGTATTTCTCAAATAAGAAGTTTCAAGATTATACAATGAAGCCCAATTCTGAACTACCTAAACAGAATGTGCATATTCCTAAAGAGAGCCTATCTTAAATAGTGCTTTACTGCTTCATATCAGCTAAATGGCTGATAACTGTCATCTATTCAAATGCCATAATACATATCTGAGGTATCTGTAACAATGCTAGGCATATGATCTAATTTAATCTCTATGACGATCCTAAACTAGGTATTATCATCCTTATGAAAAAACAGATTTAAGTAACATTTCAGTTAATCATTAGAACAAGAATCTGATACCAAATTTGTTTGAATGAAAATCATGCTTCTAATATTCTATATGGGAAGATCAGCAACTGTAAAAAACAAACTAAGGGCTTAAATGTACAAGGAGGAGTTCTATGAAGTTTTAGGCAGTGAGTAAAAGCTGTTTATTCCAGCCAGATTCAAATTTATATAAATTTCCAGAATAATAAATTTTTCAAATGTTTTTAAGTTTAAAATGGGATCTACTACAAATTATGGAGGAAAGTGTACTTGGTACTTTTATATCAGCATGCTTATGAATTAATACTTAGTTAACAAATAAACATACATATGTAACTCACTGTGGCTCACACAAAATCTTACCTTTAATAAATCTGTCATATGTTCAAGTCCAAGACCGTGTAAAAATATTTCCAGATCTCCAAATGCTGTATATGAACTATACATATTTATAGCAATGTCAATTTCAGAACAGACTATAAATGCACAATCAACATATATTTATAATAGAGAGAGAATAAGAATGAATCTATATAGAACACAGGTGCAAATTTACACACTAGACCTATGGTATATCAAAGAAATAAGGAAGGTTTCTTGAGTGAAGATCTAAGTAAACAGAGAAAATGATGACAATGAAATGTAGCTCATCTTTCCTAAGAATTAGTTGCCTATATGTATGTTCCTTGTGAGGTCTCTATACATGAAAATCTCTTTAACTGTAGGAAGTAAAGATTTAATAATTTTAAATGTGGGTAAGCAGAGAATAATTTTGTGGCCATGTACGGAACTGTGTTCAGCAAACAATGTATTTTTAATTTTAGCTTATAAAATCAGAAATCTGCTAAAAAGAATTAGAAGGCAAGATGCAGTCTAGTTTGTAGGGCACCTGGGTGGCTCAGTCATTAAGCATCTGCCTTCGGCTCAGGTCACGATCCCAGGGTCCTGGGATCGAGTCCCACATCGGGCTCCCTGCTCAGCGGGAAGCCTGCTTCTCCCTCTCCCACTCCCCCTGCTTGTGTTCCTTCTCTCGCTATCTCTCTCTGTCAAATAAATAATTAAAATCTTAAAAAAAAAAAGATGCAGTCTAGTTTGAACACTAACAAAAATATAATCTTTGACTTTTTAAGAAATAAATTTCACTGTTATTTAAAGTCAGAAATTATTCTTATTACTGTTAGTACACATGTATAAAATTTTTCAAAAATTCTGGAGAAGAAAAGCATTTAAAATCCAGACATTTCTCAGTGATATTGAAAAATGCTTGTAAAAGAGTAAAATATCATATTTTAAATTGTCATCACATTTACTAAAACTTCTAAAAACATGCATATTTTTTGCTTATTTATAGGTATTTTGTCAAATAAAAACATGTTATTTACCTAAATATGTGATCTTTTTCTTTATCAGAATCCATTGTCAATAGTTTACAAATAGTCTCTTCTTTAGTTAGCTGTTGAAGCTTTCCCTCCAATGGATTTAAAGTTAAAGAAAGAAAATTGAAGATCTGCAAAAAGTTAACAAGCCATTCAAATATAGTTAACATTATTATATACTATCACTTACACTTAGAATCTAACTTTTTAATAAGTCAGGATTATGTCACATAATCAGCCAGAACACAAAATCAAGTCTCTTTAAAAAACAATTTATTACACAAAATAATCTTTGATGTTCATAAATTTCTTATGTCAAATTCAGTGTCATCTACCCTAAATTTAATACTGCAGTAGACTAAAAGTTTCCAAATTTTCAAAGCTCAGAAGAAAAATGGTAAATTTCTTTTTGAAGTTTCCCAGGGCATTAGTAATTAGTAATTATTGTAGAATAATTTTGGAAATGCAGATTTGAGTTAGAAAATGAAAGGCATATTTATCAGATTGCTTAAAATATAGAGAAAGTTATTTTCCATGCAGTAAAAGTGGCATGGTCTGATTATGTGATGGAACTTTTCGAATGTTACCCATGCTTTCAAATTCAGAAACTCAGGTTTAGAAGCTCTTGAACTATGTGTTAGTTTTACAGTTGTACTGTATTTGATCCTTGCTTAGAAATTACAGGCCTTTGGTCAAAAGCTTTAATACTCAGACTAAAAGTTTTATCAATAAAGTGATTTAATGTATGGCAAATATTTATTATTGACTTTAATATGTAAATGACAGTAGATCATCTACCCAAGTATGTTATCACTTTATTATATGCCTTGTTACATGTATAGGAGTAATGTAGCTTAAAGGATTTAATTTTTAAAATGTTTACTATGTATTAATTAAAATTAAAAAACAACATTTTAATGTTCAAATTTTGGCTTTTTACTAGCTTTCTCAAAACACTAGTTAATTTTTAAAAGTCTGGACCAGTTTGAATTGTTAAATGGTCTATTACAATTTTATTTCTAGGGCCAGAATAAGACTTTATTATTTCCTTATATAGCTTTTAAATTACCACATTATAAATACCTCTTATTTAGTAAAAGTGAATACTCTAGTAAAATAAAGTTTTCATTACCTGGCCGGAGGAAAATTACATATTTAAACATTTAATAATAGCCAGATACACTATCATGACAGTTGTTAAGTTCTAACAAAATATTACAAAAGTTCTGAAATAATAATATAACATGCCATAGAAAAATTAATATATAGGATACCTCTAGATGTTTATTTCTTTTTGCAATCTCACTTGGTGTCTTTCCATCTTTGGTTTGTAGCATTTTATTAGCACCAAGTTCAAGCAACTTCAAAACTACATTTTTATGACCCTGACGTGCTGCCCATGTTAAAGCCTGTAAGTGAGGGGAAAAGAAGATTGTTTAAAGAGAGGGAGTGTATATGAGACAGAAAGGAAAACTTTTCAAAAGTATTTATGGCACAATAAAAGAGTGAACATGGTTAATTAACAGAATGAGGCAATCTCTTCATTTTACAGTATAATGTAAATATATTTCCAAAGTTGTAATTGCAAAGCAGACTGCCACTGCTCACTGATTTTATAAAATCAAATAATGTTTTACATAGTCAAGTGATGTTATAGAATGAATTAATTTATCTGCTAATCACTGAACTGTTTTCTATAAAAACGAATTCTGTGTATTCCAGAACCCAGGCTTTGTTGTGCGTTACAGCTTCTTGTGTCAAGGGTAAGGAAAAAAGAAAAAAGTTCATTCCTTTTTTTCCATTTCAGCTGTTTTCTTCACCAAACAGCAATTATAACCCAGTCCCTCTGTAATTTTTACTTCTCAAAAACTTTTTTGTGGACTACTGATAATGACAAGATATAAAAAGGAACATTGTGCAATCAGTTCTCACAGTATAACCATTCTCATCCTGGATATTAACTTCCGCTCCATGAGCAACAAGGAGAGCAACAACCTGAGGGTGACCATCTCGGGCAGCATACATGATTGGAGTCATAAGTCTCCTGAAGCGGAGGAAGAAAAGAAACATCTCTGTTAATGCTGCCATTAACAGCTACTCAGTTTCATGAATTTTACCATATCCAATACCAAAGTATTGTTTTGAAAGCAAAGGAAATGAAAGCTTTTAATAAATCAGATGATTTAAAAATCCAATTTCCCAGCAAATAAATGTGTAGAAGATACTTTTAAAGTATTGAATGCTTACACAGCACCCTCTAGTGAAGAGATGTGTTTAAAAAATCACTAAATAGGCCATACTTTCTAATATGAACTTTCATTAATTTACATATTCATATAGAAAACTATCAGAGTACCTACAATGCTTATTCTGGGAATATAGTGATGAATGACACAAATAAGGTCCCTGTCCCCTCAGCATTAATGGTTCATACTTAAATGCTTATTATATTTTATTTATTACATTTAATAAAAATAAAAGTTTAAAATGTTCTCTTATTTCTTAATGTCATCCATTATGATTCTATTTTAGTTTAAGCCTGAAAGAATTTTACCCTGACTTGGAGTCTTACTCTAATCAAGAAAGAGATAGTTTAATAGTTTAGCCAGACTCTCGGAGACTATTTTCTGAGAGAGCACAGTGGTTCCCCTCTAGTGTATCATTTCTCGAAATAGAGATTCAATCCCTCTCCTTCTGGAAGTTAGTCAGCTTCTGGTTCTATTACAAAGGATACCAGAAAGATTCTATTAGTTCTACGTGGGCTGAACTTAGTATCATGGACTGTTTTAAAGGAGGTCTGGGATCCTGGGCTCAATCTTCCTGAGTTGCCTCAAATACCTAATTTATATATAAAGAATTTCACAAAAGAACAAATTAAATAACTTCAGAATTCTGTTTTAATCTGATTAAGGAAGTTCACCTTGGTTACTCACATTACATACATGACCTATAAATTTCTCTATAAGGTTTGTTAACATAAGGTATATCCTGAATCTGATCACTTCACACTAATGTCTTTAGCACAAAAAGATTCACACACTTCTCTCTTTCTTCTATTTCCTAGCATATTAAAATTTCAATGTTTTATTGGAAATTATATGCTAAGGTAGCTGTCAAGCATTGCCTCTTCCATCTTGAATATCTCCTACATAGTGGCTTCTTTAGACAATCTTTACAAAGTAAAGAGTGAATTGCCTGGATAACTTAAGAAAACATGGAAAATACATACAATAGAAAAAAATTATGAGTCAACTAGTCATTCAAATTCTCCACTATGTTTAAATTAGACCTCTTGATGCCTTTTCTTCATCTCACCTTCTCTGTAACAGCCCAAATCTGGTCCTTCTAATCATCCCTATTTCACAAAGCTACCATTAACCACATAAACTCAGGCTTATGACTAAGCATAATTTATGACTCTTCTCCATGACTCCATTTATGCCTTTTGTATATGGAGTCATACACAAGTCATCAGCTGGTCCTACTGGCTCTACTTCATAGGATGTTCTGAATCTAACCGCTTTGCACCATCTTGTTAGCCACTGTAAGCAGTCTAAGCCATCATCATCTTTCTCTGACCTATATTATGGCAATAGCCTCATAATTGCTCTCCATGCTTCTGCTCTTGACCACTCAGTTTATTCTCTATGAAAATGCCAAGTTCTTCCCCTTGTAGGGACTATGCAAAGGTGGTTCCCTCCACCTTTTCCTAGACCTTTATAGTGCATACTCCTTCACCTTATTCAGATCCTCATTAAGAGAAAAAATCAATAAAGTTGACAAGCATATAACCAAATTGATCAAGATGAAAAGAAGACACAAATTACCAGTATCATGAATAAGAGAGGTGACATCAATACAGATTCTCCACAGTTTAAAGGTATAAGGAAATATGTGAACAAATTTCTGCCAATAAATTAGACAACTTAGATTAAATGGACAAATTTCTCAAAAGATTCAAACTACCAAAGCACACTCATAAATAAAGAACCTGAATAGTACTATATTTATAAAAAATTAAATTAGTAAATAAAAACCTCCCACAAAGAAAACAGCAGGCCCAGATGGCTTCACTAGTGAATTCCACCAGTTAATGAAAAGAATAATACCAATTCTACTCAAACTCCTTCAGTAAGCTGAAACAGAAAGAATCCTTCTCAATTCATTCTATTAGCAAGAATTACTCTAGTAACAAAAACTAGAAAGAGACATTACAAGGAAAGAAAACTATAGACCAATAATCTTAACTGAGCATAGATGAAAAAAATTCTCAACAAATTTTGGCAAATAGAATCCAAAAATAGATAAAAAGGATAAATATATTATAACCAAGTACAATTATCCTGGGAATGCAAGATTAGTTTGACATTTGACCAAAAAAAGAAAAACAACATTATCTCAATAAATGCAGTACAAGTATTTTACAAAATCCAACATCTTATGTAGGAGTAGAAGAGAACTGCCTCAACTGGAAAACTTTATAGCTAACATCATACTTAATGGTGAAAGAGTGAATACTTTCCTCCTAAGATCAGAAACAAGACAAAGATGTCTGCTCTCATCATTTCTATTCAACACTGTATTTCAAATTCTAGTCAGTGCAATAAAACAAGGAAAAACAGGCATCTAGGTAGAAAAACAAATAAAATTGTCTTTATTCACAGATAGCACAGTCTATGTAGAAAACCTGATGGAGTCTACAAAGAAAAGTACTAGAATAAATGAATTAGCAAGGCTGCAGGATACAAGATCTAATGGAATACACACAACATTAGTTACAATTATTATTTCAACTTGCTGAACTCATAATATGCCATCACTGCATGGAATTAAAATCAACGGGGCAGAATCATTTCTTTCTGATTTACAAAAGTCTAGTTCATATAGTTCAACCCATATAAAAAACAACTTACATGTAAACACCAATTTAGAACACAGAATCATCAAAATTTGGTAATCTCAGCATTGACTATTAACTTGGAGAAACAAAATCATTATGCAGGGCTAGGCAGTTACCTTATTCACTGCTCAAGATAACCTTACAAAGTAGAAATTATTCTCACTTTAGAGATGAGAAAACACAGGTTGGGAAATAAGTAATTTTTGCTGAAAGATCACTGTTGGTATGTTATTGAAGTAAGATTGTGTGTTTATTCCCCCCAAATCTCCTGAAAATTACTTTTAATAATCTATCCTGATATAGAGAAATCTAAGGTTCTTTTTCTCTAAATTTTTATGTATTTGATTATGAAATATGGGTTAAATTTCATAAACTCACTCTACAAGATGGCAAAATTGGAAACCTAAACAAAGTAAGTTGGCTAAAATATAATCTGAGGGAAGTGACACTCTGGCAGAGTATCCAAAGAAGGTGACATGAAAGTGTGAGTGTCCCATTTGCTTGAACTTTATTACTGAAAATTATAAGTGAAATTTATGATTTTGTACTGAAATTTGTTCTGAAATTGCACAGAAAATTGAAATTGTTGTTTGAAATATAAATTTCTCTTAGAATCTTGGAAACCAGCAGAGATTATAATTTTTGGTCAATTCACATGGACATAAATTGCTTCTTGGAGATGCTTACTTCCCCCTAGATAAGAAAAGTACCAGACCAGCATAGTTTGCTTAGAAGCTTCAGATTACTACTGAAAGATGTGTTACAAAAATGTTGCATTGGTTTCTTCTAAGAAAAGTTGAATTTACTGAATGGAACAGCAAACTCTTATAATAGGGTCTACATTACCTAGAAGGTTTATAACTTAGCTTCTAAACAGTTATTAAAGTTATTGATAACATCAGTAATGTTGCATGACAATTTTGAGAGGAGAGAGAACAATTCTAGTGGTTTTACACCTACAGAAATTTGTAACATCTGTAGTTTCCTGCCTGTTACTGATTAACAAAATCTAAATGAATTATTCAATCTTACAAACTTTTATGAACAATCTTAAGAACTCTTCAAGGAAGTTATAAGACTTTGTAATAGCTGGTCTACTCAGGTGACATGGTAACAGTTTGTGCTACTGGTAACTTTACTTTCAGTATTAATTTCCATCTATGTCCTAAGATTTACCGTAGAGAATTCTTTACTTCCAATTCTCTCTTTAAATCATTGCAATTTTGTTCTGTCTGTTCCTTCTAACAAAATTGCTTTGGCAAAAGTCAACAGTTATTTGGACACCTTTTATTTTTCTAGCACTTAAAAGTATGTATTTCAAAGGCTTCTGTTCTCAATGCTTTTCCCTTTTCACTACATTAAACACCATGCCTAAATGATCTCACCTACTCTCTTAACTTTATTGTCAACACACCAATGGCTGCTGAATCTGTCTCTCTAGCCAGGCTTTGCTCCTGAGCTCCAGACTGAATCTGCCATTGCCACATGGGTATCCTAACCAAACACATATCCAACACATATCCCAGTCTGAAGTCACCATCTTAACTCTAACACACAATTCTCTCTTATTACTTACCTCTGTGAACAGCATCACAATTCATGCACTGCCCAACCCAGAAACCTGGAATTTATTCATGACTCCTCATTGTGCTTTCATATCTAAGTCAGCATTCCTGTGAATTTTACCTCCTTTCCACCATTTTTATCTGTCTACTTTGCTCTCTCTCTCCTTGTTTCATGTGTTTATCATTTCTTACATGAATTACTGCCTCCTTGTTTCTAGTCTTTCCTCCACATTTGTGAATCTTGTCAATTCACTGTTTAAAATTTTCAAGGTTACACCTATGATATGGTAATTGTATCTTTGATGCTAAGTGCTCTGTCTGCCATTTTAGCACCTGCAATCCTACTCCATCCTAATAACAGACTTTGGTCATATCTGCAGGGCATGAATTCCAACTTCTCTCTCCTCTGGATGTCCTATATTCAGAGCACTCTGGATGAAATGTCTTTTCACTTCTTTGGTCAACAGGCTTACTCCTAATCTACTCCTAAGGCTTCATCTTAAAAGCCAACATTCCCCAGTTTTTTGACGCCCTACCTCATCTTAGATAGCAATCCCTCTCTCCTCTATGTTTTCTTAG